TTGTCTTGGGGGGGTTCTTCTGTTAGGGTGCAGTATATGCACATGAGGTGTATAGCCCATATTTTAAACTTAGTTGTTCAAGATGGCTTGAGGTTTGCAGATGAGTCAGTTAAAAGGGTGAGGGATGCAGTGAGATGGGTTAGGAACTCACCTGCTAGGTTGAATAAGTTCAGAGAACTTGCTGAGCTCATTGGGGTGGAAGCCAAATCAGCTTTGCAGCTTGATGTCCCTACAAGGTGGAACAGCACCTACCTTATGCTCAACACTGCAATTCAATATCAAAGTGTCTTTGACTCATATCATCAAAATGATCCTTCTTTTTCTGCTGACTTGGGTTCTGCACCTTCTTTCCTTGATTGGGAGACTGTTGAAAGCTTAATGAAGCTTTTGAAAACTTTTTATGAAATGACTGTGAGAATATCTGGTTCTCTTTATGTCACTTCTAACACATTCTTCTCTGAGATCTCTGATCTCAGTTGCATGCTGGAAGATATGACTAAAGCTGAGAGAACTGAAAAGGTAAAAAACTTGTGCAATTTATTTGTGTATTTCTGTATATCTTGTAAGTTGTTTACTTGTTTGTGTTTTTAAATGCTTATGCTTTCTGAGTTTCTGCATTTATTAGGCAATGGCGACAAAAATGAAAGAGAAGTTTGATAAGTACTGGGGAGATCCAGAAAAAATGAACCATATCATTTTCTTTGCCAATATTCTGGACCCTAGAGATAAAGAGGAGTACATGCCTCACCAGTTTGTCCAGTTGTATGGAGAGGCCAAAGGCAAAGAATGTTTTGCCAAGGTCCAAAATTCAATGGTTGCATTGTACAATGACTATGCAGCTACATACTCTGACAGTTCATCCTCTAACCAACCTGTCCAGTCTCAGCCTACTACTTGTACAGTTGGTAGGCCTGTCTCAAGGATGAAGAGTGAACTTAAAAAAAAAAGATTGGAGAGTGGTGGTGGAAGCAGTAAGCAGACAGAGCTACAAATATACTTGAGTGAAAATCTGGTTGAGGATGATGAATCTGTGAGTTTTGATGTTCTAAAGTGGTGGAAGAATCATAGTGAGAGATTTCCTATTCTCTCCAAAATGGCTAGGGATGTACTTGCAGTTCCTATTTCCACAGTTGCATCTGAGAGTGCATTTAGTACAAGTGGGAGGGTGCTTGATGCATTTAGGAGTTCCTTGACTCCTAAAATTGTGGAAGCTTTACTGTGTACCCAAAATTGGTTGAGGTTACATAATCAGCCAATCACACTTGAGAAAAATTTAGATGAGGTTGAAAGATTGGAGAAAGGTAAATATATAATTCTTAAATCATTTCTTTTTTACTTTTGTAACTTGTAAGTCTAGAACTAACTACTTATACTTAACTGTTTTGCAGAGTTACCCACTGGAGCTGGAACTACTCAACCATCAATGCTGCCATCCATTCCTGTAATGTTTTCAGTAATTATTATTTGTTTAACTAATTATTTATCTTTATATGTTATGGTGTTGTACTGTTGTTTGCTGATGGCCTTCACAAGATGAAACTCTAAGAGTCTTAACAGTCTAAGTGGTTTGGCAACTTTCTATAATTATATTATAGAAATGTTGCCCCACTTAGAGTTGAGCAGTATTCACTATTCAGTACTGATGTCCCATACTCCCATTACATCCATTCTGGATCTCTGGTATTACTCTCATCCTCTTAATTGATCTCTGTTCAGTTTTAATGCATTATTATTTATTCTTACTTCTTTTTTTGGCAATGATGATGCTTCCACCACTGTCTGAACAAATGGTATAGTGTTGCTATGTTGCTCATGTGCTATAATAACACATTTGAGCAATTTGCCACTATCCTTGCTTGAAATGGAAAATTGCAATCTGAGCCTATAAGGCTATTAGCCTAATGCCCCTACAGCATAATATTGTTACTTAGTTAGCTGTTTAGTACATAGGTTGTCTAATAATCTAATATTGTGTTAAGTTTTCATATTAACAGGAAGAAGTGTAGAAATTGTGATTGTCTGATTGATGATTTGATGAAAAGACCTAGACTGGATTACTGGAATGATTGCTGTCTTGCTGAAGTTTAACTGTTTAAGTGATTAACTTCAAATTTTTGATGTTTTGGAAGTTAAACACTTAAACTTATATTCATTTTGTGTTGGTTTACTTTTTGCAATTTTGTTTGTAAAACTTAAATTATTTAGCTCTGCAAACTGTCCATTAAAAAGTTGTTGCATGTTTTAGTTTGTTAACTTATTAGTTATTACTTATTTTGTTAATAGAAACTTGGTAGATTAGATATTATCATATTAAATTAATCATATTATGTTTTTTCAATTTTTAATTTTCAATTATCAATGAACTTTTCCAAATCCGAATGTGGTCCGACATCCGATCCGAATAATCCGAAATCCGACATAGCATATCCGATAGGGTTTTAGTTTCAAAAAAGTCGGATAGGACTTCAAAATTTCAATCCGCAATCCGATCGGATGAACGGAAAAACCATCCGATCCGATCCGATCCGTCCGTTGCACAGGGCTAGATGTAGTTGTGTTTAACATCATTTTATTTCTCTTAGCTTATACTAAAAAGAATTTTTATAATTCTTTTATTTACATGTCTTTTTCAAAATTAAAAAGAGTGAGTTATTTCGTTTATCCATCTAATTGAATAATAATAATAATAACAACAACAACAACAACAAATGGAAGAAAAATATCTCGTTTTGTTTTTGTTGTTGTTGTTGTTATTATTATTATTATTATTATTATTATTATTATTATTATTATTATTATTATTATTATTATTATTATTATTATTATTGTTTTGTGGAACAAAAATATCTCCTATTGTTTTTGGTTTTGTTTTTGTTTTTTTTTTGTTTTTGTTTTTTATTATTATTTTTGTTTTGGTTTTGTTGTTGTTGTTGTTGTTGTTGTTGTTATTTATTATTATTATTATTATTATTATTATTATTATTATTATTATTATTATTATTATTTTGCTCAATGAAATGACAAACAAAATTGAATCAACACAACATTACATAAAACATGGCCAAGGTAACGCCAACACTGTCTCTCTTTAAATTTTTTTTTAATGCAAATAGTACGATCCAATAACAGAGTTTTTTGAATTTTCTAGATACCTATTAAGAGCATCCTAGCATAATGTGAGATGTTTCTCTTCCAAGTTAGCTCTTCCCGAGTTCCCGGTATCATTTGACAATTATAAAGCAAAAATTGCAAATATGTAGATGCATTTTTTTAATTCCCATATTTGTAAAAAGAAAAAAAATAGAGTTAAAAGTGTTACAATTGAGAACAATATATAGCATGTGTCCGCTAGGCATAAAAAAGTGACGGACAACTATTCGATACTTTGCTATTTGTTTTCTCTCTTTATTTTTCTAAAAGAAATGTAGGAGATAATTATTTGTTACTTTCCTAAACTTAATAGGTTTATAGATGGATAATGAGTTGATAAAATGGCAAAAGTAATATCATTTAAAATTGTAGATACCCTTAATAAACTATTTTCTCTTTCTTAATTAAAAATAAATAATACTACATATACTCTTAAATTCTACTACATTATTCTTTACTCCTTACATATATGGCTTGTTTTGATTCATAAAAAAAGAGTGACTCACAGTTTTTACAAATTTTTTTTTTTCTTTATATCATCTCTTCATTGCGCCAATCTTTCTTCCCACGATGTTTGACCAGCAATATTATACGGTGTACACTACAGATAATGTTTGTCTTTGTATAAATTTTTGTATTTTTTAAATGTTTAAGCAGTTGTCTGTTTTTCTTTCTTTATTTCTAGTTGTCCAAGTAGGTACCATGCCTCTTTTATGGAATAATAGCTTTAATTTTCTCATGTTTATATTTATATTAGTTGAATTGTCAAAGAAGTTAGTTAAATTGAAAAAAATTATACATTACTTCCCATCCGATTTTTGTTGTATTTAGACTTTAGACCGAGTAATTTTGTCGTGTGATAAAAAAAAAATCAATAGTATTATCAAAATTTTAAAGTTAATGTCTGCGAAACTTAACTCAATGGTCAACTTGAAAGCTTTGCGACAACGGTCAAATTATACCATAGATTAGGGTCTACCTTACATTGTGGACTTTGGTCCAAAGTAATCTTCAAATTATGTGTTTGTAGTTGACATTTTTTATACTTATAGTTAATAATTTATGTGCTTGTCAATAAATAAAATGAAGGCACATAAATGTTAATTGGTACAAAATATGTTAACTGCAGAAACATGTTAACATATTATGTGTCTTTGTAGTTTAACATGTTAACATATTTCATGTTTCTATATTTGCCATTTAATGTGTCTTCAATTTATTTACAAACACATAAACGGTTAAATGTAGATACAAAATATATCGCTGACACATAATTTTTGAACTAGGATCTACAATGCAAGATGAACCCTGGTCCATTGTATAACAATTGCAATAGTTGTAGGGTGGGGGAGTCAATGAGAAACCCAAAAATTGAAGCATGTGCTCCATCTCAACTAAAAGTGTGCACACCCCTCATGTGCGCAGGTTGTTACTTGTGATGGACCGTTTATCGAGTTCTTTGGCATGGCTCTAATACCAAATTAAAACATGTATTCCATCTCAATTTAAAGGCTAAGTTGATAGTTGGATTGCACATTTATATTTATATATATATTATATGCTCACACCAAAGCCCAAAAAAAAAAAAAAAAGTCATTGTAAACAGAATGTACAAACTGGAGAAAAGTAATTAGAGGTGAAAACTCATTGTGCAGAGTGTACAAAGTTTATCTCAATGATTAGTCAAGCCCTGAGAAACTAATTTATAAAAAAAAATCAAAATTAATGCTAATATGATAATATGATCACACCGTGTGCACACAGTAATTTTTGTATTTATTTTTCCCAGAGGAAATTACAACTTCAAAAGGTTCAAGTAAAGGGGGGTTGCCTTGCGTCTCTTCCAAATCTTCACTTTTACTGTTTGTAAGTCAATTGTCTCATCACCAACCACTGATAACTACACCCTTTCTTTCTTCCTTCTTTCGACTAGTATTTTCTTTCTTTCTTTTTTGATTGGCCATCATATATTCATATTCCATAAACACCACAGAATTACAGACATTTTACCATCTTATTATATATGTACCTGTACTTTCTCCCCAATTTGTATTTGTATTTGTTGGTATCATTTGGCTTCAAGGAGAACAACTGGATGGGCTGTGGTGTCAAATCAAATCTACCAATGCAGTGAAAACCCACATTGGAAATTTTACCTGTCTTGCTATTTAGTTGGTGTTTCTGGGAAGAGAAGAGATTCTTTTGGGGTCCTGGGAATGTGAGTGTTTTGAGTCAGAGATCTGTAATTGGGTGGGTTACAATTCATTGTGAAAACAAGAGAAATGGTGGTGGAGTTTCTGAGATCTGGGCTCTAAAGATTTCTCTTTTAATCTTCTGTCGGTAAGGTACCTAAAACAACCTTAAAAGTGTAAACTTTTCTTATTTCATTCACCTCTTTTCTGTGTTTGACCATGGGTTTTAGCTTATTTTGATTTATTTCTCAACATTTATTTGCTCATCACTCTTGTTTAGCTAGAAATAACTTTGTTGGCATTGTGCTTTTTTGATATAAATGGAGTCTTGGTTGCTGATAGCCTTATATTGGCTTTTGTCTGTTTTTTTGTTCTTTTCTTGTTTTGCCTCATTTACAAACTTGTTTTATGACCAAATTATTGGGTTCAGGAAACATTACACAGATTTCTACTTTATTGCCTATCTGATGGATAAAATACAAATGAAGAAAGAATCACATGGTTACCTTGGTGTGTAGTTTCACATTTGAGCTTCTAGTTTATATAATCTTTTTGTAATTTTTAAGCAGGAGATTTTGACATCCAAGAAGATGGCTTCTGATCTAAACAAGGGATTATCCAAAGAAACTTCTGTTGGACTTAAAGTTTGGGAACTGGTTGGGATTATTGTTGGCTTGTTAATTGTAGTCATCCTCTTAGCATTGACATTTTATCTTACTTTACGGAAGAAATCAAGGCGAGCTAAAGAAAATCACCCCATTTGTCAAATTCCCACGGTTTCTAAGGAAATTAAGGAGGTTCGTGTGGAGCATGTATCGACACATGAATTTGCCCCTCGGGATGGGATTCTTCTTACTATTCAAGATAAATCTAGTGATAAAGATTCGGACAAGGTTTTGGTCCATCTTGGAATGGGGAAATCGAAGAATGGGGATAATAGTAGCCAATCGGGTTCTTTTCATCTAGTTGACAAAGATTGTTGTGCCTCGCATTCAGGAGAAGAAGGAAGTTCGGGCACATTTGGAGCGTATAAACCTTATACTTCTCATCCAATTGGTGCGCCTTCTCCCTTAACTGGGCTGCCTGAGTTTTCTCACTTGGGTTGGGGACACTGGTTTACGTTAAGAGATCTTGAACTTGCAACAAACCGGTTTTCCAAGGAGAATGTTCTTGGTGAGGGTGGATATGGTGTTGTTTATCGTGGACAGCTGATCAATGGCACTGAAGTAGCTATTAAAAAGCTCCTTAATAACCTGTGAGTTAATTAACCCATTCGCCCAATTGCTCAAATTAAGTCCTATTCGTATTTGTCCCCCCGTTGTTGCATTTCCTCAACATTTGAATTTAGAAATTATTTCCACGCAGAGGTCAAGCAGAGAAAGAATTTAGAGTGGAGGTTGAAGCCATAGGCCACGTGCGTCACAAGAATTTGGTTCGTCTTCTAGGATACTGCATTGAAGGAACACATAGGTATTGCTTTCTAGTATGCTCTTGTCCATTTGCTGTTGCTAATTCAACACCAAAGCTGAAAAATGATTCGATTTAATAGTCTCAAATTATTTTTTTGCCTAACCAGCTTGGTTAGCGTGAGTGACCGTGCACTCTCATCCCTTAAAGAGGCCGGGAGTTCAAAACCACCACTCATATGTAAAAACGAATATGGCCAGCACTTGGCCCCTTAATTAGGCTGGCCTTGTGCGAACAAGGATTAGTCTGAGTATGGTACGGGCTTAAAGGTGCCTACTACAGTTAGGGTCTCCGGTGCTTACGGGGATTAGTCTGAGTATGGTACGGGCTTAAAGGTGCCTACTACAGTTAGGGTCTCCGGTGCTTACGGGGATTAGTCTGAGTATGGTACGGGCTTAAAGGTGCCTACTACAGTTAGGGCCTCCGGTGCCTACGGGGTCTGAGTATGGTACGGGCTTAAAGGTGCCTACTACAATTAGGGCCTCTGGTGCCTACGGGGATCAGTCTGAGTATGGTACGGGCTTAAAGGTGCCTCCTACAGTTAGGGCTTACTCAGGACGCCTCGTGAACTTCAATCCTTAACCTCTGTCTTTGGAATGGATCAAACTACAAGTTTATTTGACTCCACCAATTGTTAAACAATCCTTATTGACTTATTAAAATGTGCTATCATTTTCGTTTTACATATTTGATAATACATATATTGCAGGATGCTGGTATATGAGTATGTCAACAATGGCAACTTAGAGCAATGGCTTCATGGAGCTATGCGCCAACATGGATATCTAACATGGGAAGCAAGGACGAAGGTTCTCCTTGGCACGGCAAAGGCGTAAGTTGATTTGACTAGACCTGTTTTAAAGCATAATTGGTCTCGGTCTCGGTCTCATATTCCCAGTGGTTCTTAATTGCAGTCTTGCCTACTTGCACGAGAACATCGAGCCAAAAGTGGTCCATCGAGACATCAAATCGAGCAATATACTGATAGATGATGAGTTCAATGCGAAGGTCTCCGATTTTGGTCTTGCTAAGCTGCTGGGAGCCGGGAAGAGTCACATCACAACCCGAGTCATGGGTACCTTTGGGTCAGTTTTATCTTTCGGATACTTTCTTATGCCAATCTCTAACTGCTTGTTCGCCCAGTATATGTCCCTCTCTATAGTAAGCAAATTATAACTCGTTTTGCAAACAATAACAGATATGTGGCTCCTGAATACGCAAATACTGGCCTCTTGAATGAAAAGAGCGATGTTTATAGCTTTGGGGTTGTGCTTTTAGAAGCAATCACCGGAAGAGACCCCGTGGACTATGGCCGTCCTGCTCAAGAGGTACCTAATTATGGAACCCTAATACTCTTAATCTCATTATGCACCAACATTAAAGTGTTTCCCTGCGTTATTATCAATATTGTAGTTCAAGGAGTTAGGCTGCTTTGTTTCTTATTGTAGTAAATGGAATCATATCTGGTATTATACTTTGGAAAAAAAAAATGGATATCCAGACCTGATATTAAAGCTTCAATGATCCTCAGGTGAATCTTGTTGATTGGTTGAAAATGATGGTTGGAAACAGGCGCTCAGAGGAAGTAGTGGATCCAAATATTGGGTCAAGGCCATCAACCAGAGCTCTTAAGCGAGCCCTTTTGACCGCTTTGAGATGCGTTGATCCAGATTCTGAGAAGAGACCCAAGATGAGCCAAGTTGCCCGCATGCTCGAATCTGAGGAATATCCCATACCAAGAGAGGTGAGTTCCGAACTACGTATGCTCTATAAGTACATCTGGTCCTATCTGCTGAGCCACTGAGTTACCGTGATTTACATTATTATCCCAAATGCTCTGTTAGAGTGGGGTGTGGGGGGCCCTTGGGGGTTGGGGATTCAACCTTTTGGGGCGAGAATTACATTACACACATTGAAGTGTTGACGTTCTTGTAGTTACCAACTGTATCTCCACTTACGGATTGATATATTTTGGCTGATTTTCCTCTTGAAATTCTCCAGGACCGAAGGCAGCGAAGAATCCGAGCAGGTGGTGGCACAGAGAGCGAATCCCAGCACGAGAACTATGATACGGACAAGAGTGACAACCCAGATTCGAGATCGGAAAGTAAAAGGAGCGATAACGTGTGACCAGCAAGCAGTGGCTCCACCGATATGACAGCAGGCTAAGCTAGTTCTTACAAAACTCGAGATAATGTGTGATTTATTTGGGTAAGGTGATATTTACTAGTTAAAGTTGGGACTAAGGTTGGGAGTATATGAAGATATCAGAGATTGGTGAGACATAGACAGGCTCTTAGTTTCACTTTTTCTAAGTTGGTTTTTGTTTTGTTTTCTAAGAGATTGGAAATGCCTTTTGTTGTTTGAAAATAGATAGGAATATGTTTGATTGTGTACAGGAGAATTGCCTTAATCTGTTGTATTCCATGGTCATGGTTTCTGACAATTTTGTTTTCCAACATCCTTAAAAGCATTGCTTTTAATATCTATGTAACATCCCACTTCACTTGTGTATCTCAGGACCAAATTGCATTGCTTTATTCCATTTTTCACATCTTCAAACTGCTATATTGTCATTCTTAAAAGTATATATGAACAGATACTATATTGTAATATAGTCAATAGTATAAAAAAATTGGTAAGTACTAAGTAATGACCAACTTTGCCACCTTACTTCTATTATAATAATCATTATGTCACGCACCATGGCTTATCTTGCAAGGTGAATCAATAATATAAGGATGATTTTTATTATACAAAAGGTTCATTTTTTAAGATTCATCTTTTGTATATTAAATATTCATTTTTAGGTAGTACATTAAAAATGAACCTTTTGTATATTAAAAATGAACATTTATTTATGATATATAGAATATAATTTGTCCTGCTATAAGTACTAATGATGTTATTTGAGTTGGGCCTTCATGTGATGGATCATATTTGGTCTAGGCTTATGGTTGAGGCAAATTTTGTTGTGGACAATGAATATGAGGTTTATTTTTAATATACTAAAAGTATGTTATTTATGTACAGATTGTACATTATTGATAGTATATAAAATAATATATTTTTTGTACTCAAATAATGAATTTTCTATTAATACAAGGTAAATTTTTAATATATTAAAAGTACATTATTTGTATACTGAATGTACATTATTTGATAGTTTTACAAAATAATATACTTTCAATACTCAAATAATGTATTTTTTAATTTGTGGTCTACACATGGTCCATAGAATAATGATTGTGTGGATTATAGTGATAATGCAATTGTTATGACATGGACCTGAGCCCACCTTGCAAGGTGGACCTAAGTCCAAAACGATGCAGCTTTGCGTATCTGGAATAATGGTGTCGTTAGTGGAATTGTTTCCTCAGCCAATGATATATATATATATATATATATATATATATATATATATATATATATATATATATATATATATATATATATATATATATATATATATTGTGAATATATAGTTAACAAAATATAGAGTTTAAAAATTATGAATATAGATTAAAAAATTGTGTTATACTGTTGATATAATTGTGAATATAGAGTTCTACAATTGAGAATATTGAGATCTAAAATTGTGAATATTCAATTATAAAATTGTGAATATAGAGGAACGAATTCTGAAGACAAATGGTAAGGAAGGAAGTAATTTTTTTTTTAAAAAAAAATTCAGACGGCGTCGTTTTGGACCCGGGTCCACATCATAATTCACCATTGACCCTAATTGCTACATGAAATTTTTACATTTAAATTCTTAAAATAGAGAGAAATCTTATCTCATACATAGTAGATTAACTTGTAATAAAATGTGTATTTTAATTAAAGCAAATAGATTTGCAATAGAAAATTAAATTTTGTGGTACAACAAATAAAATTTGATTTAAGTAAAGATAAGACAATGTATTTTTAGAATAATTATAATATGACATTCATATTCTTTTAGGATGGATATTCAAAAAGTAATACTCTGTAACTTTTATATATATGAGTACTCACTTTCAATTTTCAATTTTAGTTCAGATGGTTCAACATGCTCATAAGCCCAACAAGCCCAGGTTTAGGGTTAGAATCGGCAAATTATGCTGTGCATCCGTATGCACCATGCATGGTGCATACGGATGCAAAAATGACGTTGTTTTATTAAAAATGCGCGTCTCCCCTTAAAAAAAAATTCAGATTCGATTCCCAGCAACAACATATGAACTAAAATTTCAGAATCGATTAACTATAATTCCAGAATCTATGAACTAAAATTCCAGAATCTAATCTATGAACTAAAAATTTCAGAATGAATGAACTAACATTCCAGAATCTATGAACTAAAATTTCAGAATCGATGAACTACAATTCCAGAATCGATGAACTATAATTCCAGAATCAATGAACTAAAATTCCATAATCTATGAACTAAAATTCCAGAATAAATGAACAACATAATGTTGTTGCTAGGAACCGAACCTGAATTTTTTTTTAAGGAGAGACGCGCGTTTTTAATAAAACAACGTTTTTTTTTTTCATCCATATGCACCATGCATGGTGCATACGGATGCACAGCATAACAATTCAAACTCAAAAATAACTTATTAGCCCGAACCGATAAATCTGACAGTCCAATAAAACTAGCTCGAAACCAGCGATTGACATCCCTAATTATTAGATGCAAGGTCTTAAGTGAGATAGATTCGGTAAAGGACAAAACTCTTTCCCACGTGAAAAAAGAAATAAAAAAAATCCTCACAATGAGGATAGAAACAATTATGAAAGTTTGATTTGTCAGCAAGCCAACCACATTAACACATCTATATAATATTTGCATATATGCAAGCTTATCCTTTCATCCTTTTGCTCAATACTTCCATATAGCATTCATTTCCTGCCATCACAAATCCCTAGCAATGCCAAGGAAAAGCCAACAAGCAAGATGTTTTTTCAAAAAAAGAGAAAAAAAAGTGCAAAACCAATACAAACTTATGTAGTTGTAGTTGAGAGTTGAGACACAAAGCAAAATGATCACACATACACTACACTCAAAGGCAGGCATTGAGAGTTGCAGATGATGCTTAGTTTTGTGGCTTCTCCCACTTGAGGGGCTTCACAACCTCCCATGTGAAGTCGGAATCATCGCGTCCAAAGTGACCATAAGCTGCCGTTTTCAAGAACCTGCTGTTGCCGCCTCGCTTCAAATCCAAGTCAATGGCAATCATTCCTGGCCTAAAGTCGAAGTTCTCCTTCACCAACTTCAAGATCTCCTTGTCGGGGATCTTTCCCGTGCCATAAGTGTCAACAAACACAGACAAGGGCTCAGGAACGCCAATGGCGTAGGAGACCTGTACTATGCATCTGCGAGCGAGCCCGTTGGCCACAACACTCTTGGCAGCCTGTCTTACAATATACGCACCACTTCTATCGACCTTGGTTGGGTCCTTTCCGGAGAAAGCACCACCACCGTGGGCACCCCAACCGCCATAGGTGTCGATGATGATCTTACGACCAGTCAGACCAGCATCCCCGTGTGGTCCTCCGATCACGAAACGCCCAGACGGGTTGAGGTGGAAAATGGTCTTCTCGTCAAGATACTTCTCGGGGATGACCGGCTTGATAACGTGCTCCTTCAGGTCACGGGCAATCTCATCATTAGTAACGGTCTCATCATGCTGAGTGGAGATGAGAACAGTGTGGACCCTAACTGGAACCATAGCACCGTTTTCATTGTAGTACTCAACAGTGACTTGAGTCTTGCCATCGGGCCTCAACCACGGGCAGGTACTGTTCTTGCGCACTTCGGTGAGGCGGGCACCGAGTTTAGTAGCAAGCACGTGGCTGAGAGGCATGTACTCGGGGGTCTCGTCTGTGGCATAGCCAAACATATGACCCTGGTCACCAGCACCAATCTCCTCGGGACGCTTTGTCAGATGACCGTGGACACCCTGGGCAATGTCGGGGCTCTGTTGCTCAATGTAAACAAGGACCTTGCAGTTGTCCGCGTCTAGACCAACATCATCAGACACAAATCCTATTTTGCGGCATGTGTCACGCACAATCTTCTCATAGTCTACTTTGGCCTTAGTTGTGATCTCACCGAAAACCATCACCAAGTTGGTCTTGGTGCAAGTCTCACAGGCAACCTTGCTCTCGGGGTCCTGCTCGAGGCAGGCATCCAGAACTGCATCCGATATCTGATCACACAGCTTGTCCGGGTGGCCCTCATTAACAGACTCAGAGGTGAATAGGAAACTGTCCATTCTCCCAAACTGCAAACAAACAAAATTTTCCAATAAGTACACAATGTCTAAAGAATGGGTTTACAATTTGGACACAACTCAGTCTGGAACAAATGGCACAAGCAGGTAAGAACCCTAAGAATCTGTATTTGAAGTATACTCTACTAAATTCTATTTATAAACCAATACAAGTAAAGTATTCCATGTCATATAAATATTCTTCTGGGCAAATGAGGAGCATATTACTTACTAAATGAGAATCTTCACAAGACATTTTGGAAAAAGAAAAAGATCATTCCCTTCATATATAAGCAAGGAATTTTATTAAAGCAGGATGATAGAAGAATTCCATCTTTAACCGGCTAAGGAATCCAGTAGGCCCACCACTGACAAAAGAACATAAAAAGTGCTAATACACTTGAATTTTTCCTTTATTCTAGAGAGGAAGAAACTTTGCAAACAGAATAAAGAAACACCCACCATCAAGAACAAACTTTAATATAGAACAGGATACTGAAACCATTATGCAGAAGACATCAGATATATTTCCTGACTCAAAATCCCTGGGATATAATTACAGAAGATCCAAACTTATTAAAAAATACAGGAAAATTAGACAAGACAACCCCCCCCCCCCTCCCCCTCCCCCTCCCAAACCTCCAAACTTGAACAAAACATTGCATGTTTCTATTTCATCAATTGCCCCAACATTGAATAAAATCCAAAAACAATATAATTCGGGTCTGCAAATTCAAATTCAAAACAATATAATTTCATCAATTTCCCAATCACATAACTACTTCTTTAAAGCTTCCTTATCATGTCAATCTCCAGTGAACACATTTCCAACTAAAATTAAACCAAGAACCCCCGCTTAAACTTTTCAACCATCAAAACCAAACCCTAATTGGCCAGAAATTCTAGCATAAAACACATGATCTCGAGTTTAAACATTAAAAACATAAGCAAAACCACAGAGAAAACTTAAATTCAGTTCAAAAGTCAAAACAGCAACTGTTTAAAACCGCAAGGAAAACACAAGCCCATTAACTAACGATACAGTATAGCGAGTAGCAGAAAGCTGCCATTAAAGCATTATTATTACCTTAACAGAGAGGAGAGAGAGAGAGGTTTTATGGCGATGAAAGGTTCTAGTAGTCCTCTGTTCGGGTTCTCGCCAAATGCCTGCAGGTTTGTAACGTTAACTTGACACGTATTTATAGGCCCACGGTCCTCAATCTTCATATTCATCTGTAACGGTGACGTCGTTGTTGTGGGGCCCAGTTTTGGTCGGGGGTTGTTGGGTTCTGTAGATGGGAGAATTTAGACCGTCGGATTGGTTTCGTTGGGTGTGGATCCGACGGTTATCGAGAGCGGGAGTTGTTGAGGGAGAATGATGTGCCACATAATTATTTTCCAAATTTGGCCCATGGCTTAGCTTGATATTACGAAAAGGCCCTTTCTCACCAACCCAGCAACCCACCCACTTTTGTTGCCCGGGTCTTGGGATTGAGACTTTTGGGCATCAAAGGTTGACTGCGGAACCATATATGTAGAATTAAAATTATAAGTTCCACATGTAAAATTCCAAATTTTACTCTCTTAATTTTACTCCCAGATATGAGAGATTCTGATAAATCAATTTTTCATGTAAGTCCTAATATAAATATCTATATCAACATTTTGTGTGTAAGAATAAAAATTAGGGGTAAAAAATAAAAATATACATAGCATTTTTCTAAAATTATACTCCTTCCCATTTTATGTGTTGAGTTCAGTTAACTAGATTTCACTGAAATTATTTACAATTTAATTTTTTATAATATTAAATTTAAAATTAGTATGTAAAATTTATATATTAAGAAACTACATTAAAAATTATATTAAACACAAAAAAAAAATTAAATTTAAAAATTATAAAAAAAAATGCAAATATAAGTAAAGAAGAAAGAGTTGATTTGACCAATGAATAATAAGTAAGACAGTTAAAATGAGACGGATGGAGTATTTGTTTACAAGTAAAATATGATCTAACACCAACTATTATGTAGTGTTATGACATATTATTCCAAATATGTGGTTACAGGATCAAACTCTGATGATGGGAGCATTGATTCTTTGAACGAAAAAAGTTTGAGAAAGTATAAAACGGATCACCTGAAGAACTCAAATCAAGAAGATTAATAAATAAAAAGTATAGAACATATCACATGAAGAATTCAAATCAAAAAGACTAATAAATAATTCGATCTGATTTGGAGGTTGAATTTAATCAACTTGTCTAAAGTTGTCCTCACTAATTTTAAATATTGATAAATATATCTAAGAAAACACGTGTTATTTCATACAAAAATAAAACCTAAGAGCAACCCAAGAGGGGTTTTATGCGCCCTACAAATGTTAAGAATAAGTTAGATATTATTGTTGTATTGTAGGATTATTACAAATAATACTCCGCATAGAATTGTTAAGTACGTGTATTTTAATTAGTTTGAAGAGGAATAGGGCAGTCAACGTTTCAAGTTGATTTTTGTGTTGAAGATGATGATTACCACTATGAGAATTATTTGAATATTATTTTATGACTGTTTTCTTGTACGCTTCTACCTTAGCTAAGGTTTGGGTGGCTGTATGAGATATATTAAGCACGTGGGTGTCTAAATTCCTTGTATTGGATCTCATTAGAGCATTCTTATCAGTTGAGGATATTAGAGGGAAAATATAAGAGTGAGTAGGAAAGAGAATAATGTGGGAGGAGAGGGAAAAAAAATCAAAATTGATTTTATAAAAAAAATATATAAAAAATAAGCATGTCATTTTTCTATTAGTTCTTTCTCTTTCATCATTAATTCTTTTTCTTGGGAGAGTAATATCCCAACATTTGCAGATGCTCCCCACCCCTTCTCTCTCTTGATTCTCTCTCTGCCACCATGACATTTTGGCCTCAAAAATAGTGAATTCTCTCCCATTTCTCCTCTGATGTAGATGCTCTTAGTATCATTAAAATACATTATTAGTGTTTAATAGACTGAGACAAGAAAAAACTACCAATGTTACAAAAAACGTTAGGCGCCCTTTTTTTTTTCTTTTTTTTTTTTTTTTAAATTTTATTCTTATTTTTTTTAATTAAAAATTAAAAAATTTCAAAATTTAGTAATAAAACATAAGGTTTCCATAGTTATTTCTTATAAACTATTTACGAAAGTGGTTATAAAATTGTTCAAAAGATGGTTTAAACCATCTAAATACATTAAAAAAAAAAAAACTAAAATTAAGAACTAAAGAAGCATTTTTTTGAGAAATTAGTGGACCAAACCGCCTAGGCGGCCAGCCGCGGAGGAGGCAGCCGAGGCCATTCCTCACGGCGGCCTCCCACCGCCTAGCGCCTAGGCGCCGAGCCGCCGATTAATCGGCGTCTAGGCGCAATTTTTGCAACACTGGAAAATACATTATTAGTGTATATTAATCCAATTATTTACTTATACTAAAATTATTTAGAAGTTGTAATTATTTTATATAAGTTCCAATTAAATTGAAATTGATTTTTTTTTTTAATTTGTGCTGATTATTAGATAGGGGTGGAAATCAATCCTTATATGGAATATAACTAAGGTTCACACTGCAGTGAACCACGATTCATGCGTATGTATTTTGTGCGTATGTATTTTGTGCTGTGACTTTATGTGTCTTGTGTTATAAAATTATATATAATAAGAATATGAATTCTATACTTGGAATAAATTAGTAATTGTGTCTTATGTTATAAATGTCTTTGTCTTGTGTAGTGAAATTCTGTGTCTATAAACACAAATTATGTACATAAATCAGATTTGAAAAATAAGTAAATATATTAAATGTGTATGTGTTTTGTGTTATGAAATTATGTACTTTACGAGTATGAATTTTGTGTTGGATATTGGTGAATAAATCGATACACAAAATATATATAAAAAATATGTTTATGCAAAAATGAAATTTAATTTGTAGAAAATTAATTCCAACCAATTTTGGTACAAAATCAAAATTACACACACACATGCGCGCACGCACACACACACACACAGATACATACATACATACATACATACATACATACATATTGACGGTAATAACGTTACCGGTAAATAATAATAACGATAATCTAATAGCGATGTGTCAGAGAGACAATAGTGGTATTGCTCTAGTTCTTAGTATAGAAAGTACAGTGTGTCTTTGCTAGCTGAGGAGATCCCTATTTATACTTAGAGTCCCAACGGTAACAACACGGACATAAATGAGGAGCCTGGTCTTTAAGTCTCTCTCATCAATGGGGGCTTCAATGCTGTCTTCAATGTCAGTAAAGGTGGCACCTGTTGGAATTCCTGACCGTTGGAGTTTCTATCCGTTGGGTTCCCATGTGACGCTGAGTCAAGAGTCCATGCCCATTTGTGATCCGGGTCGGGTGCCAGCCTATTATCCTGTCACACACACACACACACACACACACACACACACACACACACACACACACACACACACACACACATATATATATATATATATATATATATATATATATATATATATATATATATATATATATTAACAAAATAGGAATTTATCTTATAAAAAATAATCCCACCACAACTAATACGAAACTAGTAGAAGACAACCGTTATATCCTGCACCGCAGTGCGCATAGCACTGTGCGCCCCGCGCCTCCCAAAACGACGTCATTTTGTAAGTTATGTAGGGAGTTGATGCGATTATGTGTATTTGTTTATACAATTATGTGTATTTGTTTATACAATTATGTATATTTTTTATACAATCATGTACATCTTTTTTATACAATTATGTACATCCGAAACAGGAAATTTATGTATATTATGTTAAGAGTTGATGTTTATTATGTTAAAAGTTTATGTATATTATGTATTATGTTAGATTATATGTATTATCTTTTAAAAAAAGTATGTGTATTTTGTTATACAATTATGTACATTCATGTATACAATTATGTGTATTCTAGTATAAAATTATGTACATTTTTGAACTAGAATACATAAAATTCTAGTATAAAATTATGTACATTTTTGAACCTGAGATTTTTTTTAAAAGAAAATTAACGGGCAACACAGGGTAGCGAAATTTCAAAAAAAATAAAAATAAAAATGAAACGACGTCGTTTCGCATCCGGGCACACAATGCAATGCACGCCCTGGTGCAGGATATAAATTGCCAGTAGAAGAGATTTAATTTCTACGAAATTAATCCCCCCACACTTGGTACGAAACCAAGAACAGAAAATATAAAAATATATAACGAGAAAGGGTTTCTAACTTGAGGTTTTAACCCAACGAGAAGAAAAGGACGCTCGACCGTGTGTACACACGCTCTCTTTAAAACCGATTCGCCGCCTCTCGAGGGTGCTAGGAGAGTTGTGGCGTCAGTCTCCCAGGATAAAACGGACTACGACTTTGACGTTCGAGCACTCAAACCCAAAGCCCGGTGAACTAGAACACAAGTTAAGCACTCTGTACGAAATTACGGAAGATGTTGGCAGAATTTCTTTTCCTTCGTAGCAAAAAGAATTGGGAGAAGAGAGAAAGGAAAATAAAAAATGTTTTGATAGTTTACAAACTGGCGTGTTCAAAACATTCTGCCAACAACAAGCTATTTGTAGGAAGAGAGGAATTAAAAGCATCATAATGGCACATTAACCATAAATCTGATTTATTAATTGGATAATAACATTTGAAAGGGTCATACTTATTATCATAACAATATCAACGGTCACGAAATTAATATACAATTAATTTGTACCGATCAAAACGACCTGTTTCAAAATACATAAGTGACCGAAAAATCCGTACAAACCAAAAAATTAACAAATTGAGACTGAAAATCACACCTAAATGGTGTAAAAGCACCGGTACAGCACGAATTGGTGCGGCAACCACCGAATCAATGCAGCAAGCATTAGACTCGTGCTACAAACACGAGTCGTGCTTTACAAAAACCAAAGCTTAAATAATTAAGCTTTCATTTCTCTTCACAGCACCGAATTGTTCATAATGCAACATTGCAACATTCCCAATTCCAAAGCTTAAGCTTTAATGAGCTTTAATTAACAAATTAAGCTCAACACCAACATGCCTTATTGGCGCGAATCATCAGTGCTACAAATAGCACGAATCGTAATAAAATGCTAAATTTGTTAATCCC